TTCCAGGATAAAATTAAACAAGTTGGAGCCACTGTTCAGTTTTCTGTCGCATGCAAATTTCCTAGCCAATCACTCTATAGTTACTGATATGTATATATTCCCAGCATCTGCATTTGTCTTAAATAGATATTGTATTCTTAGGAAATGTTTTTTAATTGATTACTATTAAATAAAAACACTGGAAAATTTCTAAAAAAGAAAAAAAAAAAAAGCTTTTCACATTTATACAGTTCTGGCATATTTATTCCACTTGAGAAGTGATTGGTGCTAATTTTCCCCAGTCATAACTGACAATGGTTATAATTACTTAGACAATTTAATCTTTTTTTTTTTTTTTTTTTTTTCACTTCATCCCAAGCAAAGTGATTAGTATTTAGTATACTAATACACAAGCAGTTACTGCATGTGAAAGAGAATGAGAAGACTTTAGAAGGAACTGGGAACTATTTCATAGAATTTGAATCAATTGGCAATAAAACTGATGTTTTGCCAAACATACAAATAAACAATCTTATTAAGCACTTATTAAGTAACAATGTTGAAGGTAGACCAAAAGTATTGGTACTGAAGGTTACTCAATTTGATAATATGTACTCCAGTTTCTTTTATATTGGTTTTGCACCAGAACCAATTTTTTAGCCTTTAAGACTTTTCTAAGCGTTAAATATTTTATCCTAAAATTCATACGTGGCGTAGTTAAGAGTTTTAATTTTTTTTAAAACTGTTTTTGCTCTTTTATTACAGGATTTCTTCTCCATATTTTGCATTTAAAAAAAAAAAATTTTTAACCAAAATCTCACTCTACAGTTCAGGATAAGAAAAACTGTGTGGATAGTGGCTTTTCTTAAAAAACAAAAACAAAAAAAAAAACATGTCAGTAAATATTCTAAATTCAGTCAACTTTATTGCTATTTCATTGGTAATCAATGTCTTAACTTTCAAATTTTTCAGGTCATCAAGGAGCACATGAAATTTTCCAAAATTAAATGCGTAATCACTGAAGAGAAGAACTGCCGAGTGTGTAAGAAAAGGATTGGTAACAGGTGAGGTTTATTTATTTATTAAGTTGGTCTTGTCTTTTGTAGTTAAATTTTTAAATATGGGGCTCATAGCACCAAATAGAAACAGGTTTGGCAATGAACTCTTTACTCACTGGCTAGTGATCTTTTGTTGTTGTAGTAGAAAGAAGAAAAGAAGTCATCACTGTTCTATTGCTGATAGTAGCCGGCATTTTATTAGAATGTCCAAAGAGCAAGAAAATGTCAAACAGTTTTTTTATTTGACCATTTTTGACAACATGAAAATATGCAGGGGGAGAAGGACATGAACACAAATGCTGGGATCAATCATTACTGTTTTTGTATTTTCCCTGGTTAACTCCACATCAATGTCCAGCAATGTGTCCTTACTTGATCACATGATTCCACAATGTATTATATCCTCTTTTAATCATATCCTGTTTTGGTGACAAGTTCTATCTCAAGGCAGGTGTGAGCCGACAACTGATTGTGTCTTTATTTTATTCCCCTGTTTGTGAGAAGCAAATTATTGACAAGTTTTGAATATTATAGATTTTATCATGAATTGAAAAAGAAAATAAATCGACAGTAAAGGGAATTAGGGTATCCAATATTTTTTCTTCCTTGATTCAATGTGCGAATGCACAATATGTGCTTCTCTTAATTTAACTCACAAGTACTTGCATAATCGAAAACTCTCATGTCTTGTTATTGATAATCATTTTTTTTTTTTTTTTTAAATCTCATGATTTCATAAAGTAATTTCTGGCACAATAGCGTCTTTTCATGTATGACTTTTTCTGAGTTGTATTTTTCCATGTGTGGTTAATATTTCACAAAATAATCAATAGTCTTTTGTCTTTGAAATAAACAGCTGTCAAGAGTTGCTTTATCTGTACGAACACAAAACACAATTGTGCATTACTTGGGAATCTTAGGCTTAGATAGATTGTAATAAATTGGGTTTTCTTACCCTGGCAGGAAATTGAAAAGTGATTCAAGAAAATTTACATTAGAAACAAAGAAAAGGTTACTGAAATGTTATGTAATATCAATCCTATATGACATTGAATTCTGAACAATCTCCTCACAGATGAAGAAGAGACTTGAAGCAACAGAAATGCAGTTCTATAGATAGTACATAGAAGGATGCTGAGAATACCATGGACCAAACATATAACAACAAAATTTTTAGAGAAAACAGAAACAAAATAGACACTTATGTTTAATATCAGGAGGAGGTCATTGAAATTTCTAGGGCACATAATGAGGAAAGAGAGCTTGGAAAATTTGATACTCACAAGACAAATCGAAGACAAGAGGGATAGAAGAAAACAACACATGACTTACCTTGTGAGCTTGAATAAATGGATGATGAAACCAGGTTTAGGAGAAATAACAAAAAGAGAAAATTTATTAAGAGTTACAAAAGAAAGGAAATTGTGAAGAGCCATGTTTGCCAGTGGCCTGAAAGGACATAGTACATAGATGATGATGAAGGCAGTGAAATCACTGACTCTCCTGGAGCTGCTGATGAGATAGCATGTAATAATTTTTTTTTTTATATTGAGTCATCTTACTCTAGCAGTGAATCAGTTATTCAAAATAATTTATAGATGGAGATGAAGGCAATTAAAGTAATGATTGTTGTGGAGCAGCTGATGAAATATTGTGTTAATATCATATCACAGAAAAGCATCCTCATTCTAAGTGATTAATTACTTTCATATTAGCTGTTAAACTCATTCTTTTTTTTTTTTTTTTGATTTTTACAATACTATAATTCTTGACTAATTTAAAAAAAAACTATAATATTTTTACATATGTAATGGTGTCATGGTGTTCTTTAACTTATAAGCAAAATGAGCTTGTCTGTACCTTCGGAAGAAAAATGGAGTAAATAATAAATATATGAAAACTTGCAAGATCAAGTGCCACTTAGCTGGAAGGTAGGAAGTTCCAGTCATAGTCTTACATAAACTGTTACAGAATGGTCAGTTGTGATGTAGAGATGAGCAGAGGGGTAGTAGGAGAGAGTTCAAGGCTGAAGGGAAGATATGGTCCATTAGTCTGTCATGTACACATGAGATGCATTCTTATAAACTTCAGTTCGTATATATGAAAAAATTGAGTAGTTGCTTTTATTAATTACAATTACGTACGATTGATGAATGGCTCAAGTTCTTGACTTGCCGACTTTCTTAACAGAAGTATGTTGGGCTAATGGATAGCAGCTTGGATTGAGGAATTGGAGAGTCAAGTTTGAATTCCAATTTGGTTCATTGCGTTCACTTACGTGCTAATAACCTTGGGAAAATTATAAATCCATCTCTTTCCCCCCCAGCTATGGGTAAATAGCAGGACAGACTGGACCCTGTAGCTGTGGTTGGCAACCAGTCTAGAAGAAGGAAAACTTTGGATTAAAACCACCTGCTGCCATATAGGTCCTGCCTCTTTAACTCCTGAGAGGAGGGATGGGGTAACCTCAATATCCCTGGTGCAAAAAGATCTGGCAAGCCATTGCACTATTCTGCTTTGAATGTCACCAGGAACCACAATTGTGAGATAAAGGTGAGTGGTGACCACAGCAGCATAAAATGTGCTAACTGAATAAATGATGATGATTTTCCTGCCAGGTAAAGAAAATGTGTGCTCGAAGCAATGTACTGAAGGCATGAATTGAGTGAAACTTTCAGATGTGGTATGTGCTTGCCAATATATGCCATGTGGTTTGGCTTAGATAAGCCAAGCCAAGGCTTTTTAATAACCACACCTTATTGTAAATTTGTGCATAAACACATTTTCTATAATGATTCAAAAATTTTATTTCTTTTGTAAGGAATGACTGTGAAAGTTTTTCTTATAAGTTGGTGCTTGTTGCATGTGCATTGTTAATTTTCTATTCCTCCCAACAGCATTAAAATTATCAGAAATAGTTGAGGAATTAATTTTCAGTTTTGGAATGTGCTCCCTTGATGCCTACTTGGCTTGTTTCCTTTCAAAATTTTTTGGTCGGGTGCCAAATCTTCTTGTGTGTCTTGAAGGAATTTTTCATTTGGAAAATATGGTAAAATTTTTAGAAAGATTTTATATTTGTTTGCTTCTTATTAGTCTGGCTTCATTATCTGTTTCTTGGATGTCCCAGGAAATGAACTCAAAAAACAAATGCAAGTTTATATATATATATATATATATATATATATGGGTGCATAGCTGAGTTTCTAGAATGTTCACTTTCTGACCATGAAATCTGGGTTTGAATCTTATCATGGTCAATTTATCGGGAAAGTGGCTTCTTGATGTTATTGGCCTGTGGAGGTGATCCCAGCATGCAACACCTTTGAAAAGTGCCGGAGGTCTACCCCACAGTTTGACCCAAGCCTTGTGAGTGAAATGGAGTAGATAGAAATACTTGTGAGTCATCGATGATTGATGATGATAGTACAAAGTTGCAAGTCCTTGTGACTGAGTGTTTGATTCTCGTTCAAACTATGGATCATACCAGATAATGCACTCTTTTCCAGAAACTGTAATTAAGGTTCACTTAGTATAGTTTCAGTTTTAATTGTAATATACAAAAAAATATTTGTGAATATGAAAGGATTATAGTCAAAATAAGCAGACATAATGTTTGTAATTTATTCAATCAGACATGCCTAAAAGAGAAATTGCTGCCTAAATACACACACACACACACATATATATATATATATTGGTTAGAATTTTTGCCTTCTGACCATGAGATACAGGTTTGAATCTCACCATGGTCAATTTGTTCGTTGAATTCTTACTGTGATTGACATGGAGTGGTGATCCCAGCATGCAGCACCTTTTAAGAAGTGCCTGAACATCATACTTCTGGTTAACCCAAGCCATGTGAGTGAAATTTAGTAGATGGAACCAAGGAGGTGCTATTGCTAGCTAGATGTCACAAGCCGTCATAACTGAGAGTTTGATGATGCTGTCCTTGTTCCACCATATTATACACTGGTTCCCATATGATCACTAAAGTTAAACAACATCAAGCCTGGTCAGTAGCTAGATGGGTGACCACTTGAGAACACCAGGCGCTGTGAGCTTGGATGTTCACCTGTGGTGTAAAGGTAACTGTGAATTAGAGAGCTGAATTCCAATTCCAGTTGGGTTTGTTTAGTAGGCTTGGATTAAACTTTATAAGTTTAATCTGAGCCTCTTTACCATATCAGGTTGAAACACTAGTTCTCATAAGTCCACTGAAATTAAACAACATTGAGCTTGGTCAGTACTTTGATGGGTGACCGCTTGGTAATACTAGGTGCTGTAAGCTTGGATGTGCAGGTGGCGTAATGGATAATGGCTCGGAATTGTAATTCGGAGAGTCAAGTTCCAATTATGTTCCGTTATATTCATTTATGCACAAATTCCTTTGGGAAAGGTATGAATCCACCTCTTCTCCCCTAAGCTATGGATTAATTAAGATTTTGATCACTAAATCATTATCTCAAAAAAAAAAAAAATTCTTACAATCTAAAAATATTTTCTGGCTTTAAATAACCTGAAAATGTTGATCTGTGTAAAATGAATTGGTCAATGAAATACTGATGAGCTACACAGGCATATCCTTTAGATCTTCCATTGCCTGAAATATAAATGTACAGAGGCTACCGTAGCCAGAAACCTTACAATTGGAAAATATTTTCTGTTTTTAAATAACCTGTAGCTGAATCAATCAATCCATATCAATGTACACTCTCACCCCTATTTCTTTGTTTCATTTAAAGGTTAAATATGTCAATTTTCATATGTTCTTTATTGTCCTTAAGAGTTATATGACCATTATATAACAGTCAGTTTGTCAGTATTATATTTAATGATAGAATCACAATGAAATTCATAAAAAGGGGTGGATTAAATAGAACATAAAGAACATTTTTTTTAAAGTTATCATAGTATTTTGTTTGAGCTTTTACTGATGAGCGGTTAATTTTTTTTTGTAAAATGAGCATTTAAAGAAGTATCTTTGAAGGCTGTTAAAGAATATTGATTGATTTCTGTCTGACAAGTTATGTCTTTTTTTAAAGATGCATAAGAAAATTCTGTGCTATAAATGCACATTTTTACTATCCTCTTTTTCTATTAGGTTTTAAAAAAAACAATTTAGTAAAGGTTCTTAAACTTTGACTTTTATATTTGAGACGAGTTCCAAATACAGACTTTCCACGTAAAAAGAGTTTGCCAAAAGTTTGCAAAAGATAAAGAAATTAATGTTTCCTAAGTTTTAGAACTTTTTAATTTTTTTTTTTTTTAGGATATTCATTTTCTGTATCAGTTCAACATTCTCCCTTGTAGACTGGGCATTCTCCATGAAGCCGTCTAAAGGCAAACATGTTTGCTTTTAAACTGTTATAACTTAGGAAAAGTTAACAAAACTAAGAAAGACAGGAATTAATTTATTAATAGTTAAAGATGATCTTTTTTACTAATTTTTAAATGCTTTATTTTATTGACAAAGTTGAAGATATTGTTTGCTTGTAAATATTTAAATGCATTATTACCAAATCTATCACGTAACATAAAATTCTTGTAGGTATTATCTTAAAAAGAGGGTTATCATCAGACTTATTCTTTAAGAGGCTGAACAACTGGCAACAGCTTGACAGCTTGGGACATGTTGTTAGTCAGGATTTTTTTTTTTAATCATTTCACCTCAAACACTGTCCTGAGTAAGACTTTAAACTACATCTGCGTCCTGGGTAAGACGATAAACTACGTCCAGCAGCAAGGCCTCTGATCAGGGGGTTTTGAAGAACATGGAACCACCTCTTAATTGCTGGTGTTCCCAGGTCCACCTTGACCCGGGGTGGTAGCATCTGTTAGGATCCCAGCTATGGGCAAATAGTTAACTATTACCAGCAATACTTTTTTGAAAAAATTATTACCAGCAATACAATTTTGAAGGAAATATATTACCAGAAACAAATTTTTGACAAAACAAAATGTTACCAGCAATAAAAAATTTTGTCAGCATTAAATAACCCATTGAGGTTGATATGTTGTAAAACAAAATAATCCAAACCAATCTAAACCAAAGAATACATATTCTATTCATGTGAATCTATCCTAAAAATGTTGTTGGCATTAAATAACCCATTGTGGTTGATATGCCATAAAAAAAAAATAAACCAAACCATTCATCCCAAACAAGGCAATAAAGTCACTAATACTCAAGAGTATTATATTTAACTGGGAAGATGCTTAAAAATCAGTAGAACCCTGCTATACAGTTAGAGATTCTTGATAAAATCCCCCCCCAAATACTTTCATGGTATTTGTTCTGATGAACTTTCCCCCATTGTATCTAGACATTATGAATTTAAGCACAGTAGTAAATGGGGTGACAAGGGCTTATGGCTTCTTGCTTCCCTGTCAACTTTGATCTTCAAAAATTTAAATGGAATGTCAATTGTTATCTTCCATCTTAATTCTTATTCTTTTATTGTCTTTTCTTAATAGTATATTTTTCTCAGTCTCTGACACTTAGTAAACCCCCCCTGCATCTTAGTGGCTTTATTACCTTGGTTGGGGTGAAATGATTTAAAAAAAAAAAAAGTAGTAGAAAACCTTCCCCATAACAAAAATATACTATATCACAAACTGTAGAAATGACTAAAAATGTTAAAAAAAAACATTAAAATGTTAGGAATCCCTCCGTCCACCATCAATACAGGAAAGAGCTATAACCACTACTAGACTTGAGAAAATTGTTTTTGAAACCTATAAATATATATATATATATATAACGGATAAAATAAATGTAAATAAAAAATGAAAAATTGTTTTGAGATAAAATAAATGTAAGGATTTTATAAATAAATATATATATATATATATATATAGATTATAAATATAAAATAAATGTAAATAAAAATATAAAATAAATATAAATTATATATATAGATTATAAATATAAAATAAATGTAAATAAAAAATAAAATAAAATAAATATAAATTATAAATATAAATATAAATAAAATATAAAATTATAAATATAAAATAAATGTAAATAAAATATAAATTTTGACTGAAAGCAGAACTGGTTGCTCAGTCAATGAATACCAAATATTTCTTTATAAAGAAATAACTAATATTATCATTATCATATTTCATAACCTTCTGGTTATTTCATATCAAATTCTGTCTTCTAAATTTGTTTCATTTTATTGTCTTCTCTCCTTAATAGTATATTTTTCTCATTCTCTCTCACTTAGTAACCCCTTGCATCTTAGTGGCTTTATTACCTTGCTTGGGGTGAAAAAATTTCTCTCGAGGAGAGTGAACATTATGCAGTAGTGGAAATTTCCAACTAACATTCAGCTAACTTGTCAAACTGTGTACTTAAGGTACCTTTTGTAGATAAATTAATAAGTCTATAGGATAAGGATAAATACATTTATTTTTCAACATATACAGGGTGGGACAGATATACCTCCCACATTTTAAATGTTGACAAACAGACCAAGGTAACTGCTGTTAAAAAATTTATTTCATTGTTGTTTAAACAAAGGTCTGCAGGTTTTATTCATTTGGTTTTAAAGTTGTTATCCTCCAAATAGTGGCCGCTATTCGGCATCCACTGTTGTAGAAATTTCTAGAGACTGAGCATTTTCTGGAGTTCCAGTGCCTTGAGGTCTTCAGGTGGCTTTCTTTTAAGCGCAGAACCTGTGGCCCTGAAAATTTTCAACCCACAGCAGTATCAGTTTTCTATCTGGAACATTCTGACATTTCTGACATAACATGAAATGAGCATGAAAAAATATATATATATATATATCTGTGGTTCAAGTACGGACTGACAAGTTTTAACAATGTTTCAAAAGCAAATGCACAGTGAGCTCTGGTTGAAGCCATGATAGTAACTCATGGTATCCTCACTCCAAAAAAAAAAAAAAGGAAATTAGCTTGAGGAAGATGTCATTGCCACTTACCTAAATTCATTAGCACTACACAGGTGACAGTTAAAAATGTGGGAGATGTTTGTGCAGCATCCTGTATTTTCTTTCCTTGTTAATGCACTTAATTCCAACATTTCAGTATTATCACATTACCTGATGATTCTTAAAGTATGAAACTGTCAGTCACCATGCAGTGTTGACATCTATGTCCACACTTTATATCTACATACTCTACCTCTGATATTGAGCACTCTTCTCTCCAGAATTATATATAGTTTTAAACAGATAAAACCACTTATTTTTCCTTTAAAAAGGTAGCCTTTTTTTGGTGAATATTATAATATAACAATAATAATAAACATTTTTGTCTCAGTGGATTTTTTTCTCTTTTAATCAAAGCTGCATACCCTATGTCAAAATTGTGGTCTGTTTTGTTACAGTGAACAACCAATACATTTTGTGTGTTATTTTGAAATGTCCCTTACAAAATTAAAATTATATATATATATATATATATATATATATATATATATATATATATATATATTTATAAATCATTTGTTTGTTCTCAACTGATGAGATGCTTACCTTTTAAGCATCAAAACAAAATATGCATCTTTTGTAGTGATTACTTTTTGTCCATATGTAACAACTTATAATAAAAATATATATACACATACATATATATATATACACACACACACACATATATATATATATATATATATATATATATATAATATAATAAAAAGGCTTAAACACTAATATTTCATGGTCATAATTTATTCCATTGGAATCATAAATACGATCCAATTCATCAGACCTACAAATTCAAAAAGAAAACAGAAAGAAACAACTCCGGAAATAAAAATAGAATTTAGAGAGAATGTAAGTATGAGAGTGTGGGACGAATGTTAGAGTTAAAGAGAGGGGTGACAGATGAGAGAAGGTGGAAGATTAAAACTTAACAGAGAGGAGTTTTATAGAGGTGAGTGGAAGGGGGAAATATGAATGTTGTCGGATGTCTAATACATTAAAGATACATTTCGTGGTGACATACACACACCATAGACGATTTAATGTTAAAGATCAGAATAAGAGGGAGGGAGAGAAAAGGAAAGAAGAGGTGGGGGAGAGAGATGGGGTGTGGGAAACTAAAACTGAAGGGCATTTACTGAAAGGGCCGCTGTGTAATTGAGAAAATTTGACAAAATTAATATTGACTACAGGTTACAAATCAAATATAAACATATAAAATATATATATATATATATATATCTGGTTCAATATGTTAGCTCTATCTCTGATACTGAGCGCTTTCTAATAAGTACCGCGCATATAATAGTATAATATATGTATGTGTATATTTACCA